ATTAGGTTAAGTGAAGAAAGGAAGAATGGAGGAGGAATTAGATACAGGAAAGCAGAGAAAGTGGTGGTAGAAATAGGAAATTTTGAACTTTCCAAAATCAGAAGTTCTAAATGATGTTTGCTTGACATTTGCATGTGTAATATTACTCATCGTGTATTAAACAATGTGTTGTCAGTTTACACATAATTTCCTACTTAATCCTTACCACATTAAAAGGAGTTATTATTCTCTTCATTACCAACACTTATAAAGCCTCAGAGAGGTTGCCTAAGATCACAGAGGTAACACTCAGGAATTTGAACAAACCTTTGTCTGAATCAAAAGGACTAGAATCTTGGGCTGGGGATGTGGCTCAAGCGGTAGCATGCTCKCCTGGCATTCGTGGAGCCCTGGGTTCGATCCTCAGCACCACATAAAAATAAAATAAAGATGTTGTGTCTACTGAAAACTAAAAAATATATATATATAAATTCTCTCTCTTAAAAAAAAAGGACTAGAGTCTTAAAGAATGGACCACATAGTACCTAAAAATGATAGTTTTTTCAGAAATGGGATGTTAAAAGAAGCAAGATTTTAAAAGCTTCAAATTTACTGCCATATTAGCTTCATTGGAACATTAGTCACATATCATGTTAAAAATTCTGGAGTAAGAGTTACAGAGATTTAACAGACAATGTTACAGACAATTAAAGACTTTAAATAAGGGCCAAATAGGGACAAGAGAATAGAGGAGAGGAAGAATTTGGGAAGGTGTATGTGTATGTGTGTGTGTGTGTGTGTGTGTGTGTGTGTATGTGTATTAGGAGGAGGGAGGGAGAGAGAGAGAGAGAGAGAGAGAGAGAGAGAGAAGAGCGAGGTGAGTGCATGTTGGAAACCAGTGGAGGAGGGAGGGGGTTGTGTGGTAACTCATTCTTAGCTAAGACCGTTTCCATGGCTAGAAGATGAACAGATATTTGTAGCAGGGAGAACAACTCTCCACCCACTCCTATATCCTACCAGGGGTGGATCTGAATAGGACTTTTTGTCCATCTCTGGTCTATTTTTCACAAAGCAACTAGAGTAATCTTTCTTAAACCTAAATTCTCTGCTCAAAGTCCTTCAATGGATTCCAGTTGCACTTAGAATAAAATCCAGGCTCCTTCTGTAATTACCAGGCCCTGCCTACCTGTGCATCCACAGGCTCTGCACCCCAACATTCTGAATTTTTTTGACCATATGAGCTGAGGTGTTTTTGTATGTTCTTTTGTAGAGATTATTCTTCCCCAAACCCTTCAAATACTTCCATATGATCTCATCAGAAAGGCCCTTCCTGACCACCATTTCTTACGTAAATTTCCCTCTTGGTCTATCATCTCAAAATCATATTCTTCTCATAGAGCTAATTGAAATTGCAATTAGGCATGTTGGTGTTCATTCGTTTTTCTGAGTATCTTCTTTACCAGATTATATGCTTCATGAGGCAGGAACTAAGTCTGTTTGTTCTATCTAGTGCCAAAGGATGTCTTCATTTATTTAATAGATGCCTATTGATAATAATGTCTCCTTATAATGTTYGGGGTGATAAATACCCTACCTCAGCTTGGATCCAGTCAAAGATAAAGAAAAGCCACATTTGGGATGGTTTGATGAGGTATCCTGATAGTTAAAAGTGATTACAGGGGTTAGTGGGCCCTGTTGCAATAAAAACAGTACTAATGGGAAATGTCTCTTACAATGCAGTAGATGCTTAGGCCTTTTTTCTTTTTTTTGCTATTGGGGATTGAACTCAGGGTACTGAACCACTGAGCCACATCCCCAGCCCTTTTTTGTATTTTGAAGTAGAAGGATAAGTAAGGGAAAGTTAGGGTTCTCTGATTGCTATTGAGGACAAGGTTAAATTGAAGAAAGACGACTTTAACAATCCAGGTGGTGTCTTTGCACATTGAGAATAATTGTCTGTTCTTGGGAAGTGTGTTTGTGAAGGCAAGTGTATGTTAGTATGTTAGTGTACATGTGTGCAAGTGCATGCACACAGACACATATTTGATCTTAAGATCCACCCATCAGCTAACTAGGAAGCAAAAGAAGCACATTGTCTTCTCAGTGATGGAGAGCTGATGAAAATAGCTGGACCAGGAGCCCAGAGCTCCCCTCTGACTCTTCTGTTCTGGCCTCCTCTCTAACACACACTCCTCCCAGACTCATACTCCCACACAGCCAGGTGAGATCTCTCCTGAATAACTTAGGCTTTCTGAATTCTGAGGTTCTGCTAAGAAATTATAGAAAGAGCTTGAGTTTTATTCTGAGTGCAGTGGGAATCCATCGAAGGACCGCAAGCAGGGAATTTAGGTTTAAGAAAGATCACTCTAGGGGCTTTGTGAAAAATAGAGCAGAGATGGGCAAAAAGTCCTATAAAGGATGCTAAGGGACTTTCTAATGAAGAACAGAGGGTGGGAMATGGCATTAATTAGAAGTGGGAGGCAGACCTCAAGGCAGGGAAACAAGTCTAGAAACATGCTGCTCCTTGAATATTCCATACTCAAGTTGCCTCATTTTCCTTTGGACTAGTGGATAGTCTTACTCAAAGCACAATGTAATATTTTTTTTTCTCTCATTATAAATCTCTTCAGTTCCTCTCACTCCTCTAGTCTGCTAAATGCACATCATCTTGTAAAAGTGGAGCTGGGGGAATCTAAGAGGGGAAACAGGGAAGAGATGGGACCTTGTTCATATCCCATTTCCACTGAATCCATCACAACACAGCAGTTATCTATTTCCAGGAGGGTGGCCTGGAGTTCAGTCTCCAGCAGAAGAGGTCCCAGTGAGGCCTGTTAGCTGGGGTTGGGAGTAAGAATGCTCACCTTGGAGAACTGCAGTTATGTGGACAGTGGCTGAGAGGGAAGACACCCCCCCCGCCCCCCTGCAAGTATGCCCAAACAATCAACCTGAGGCTTCTGCCATGTGTGCCCTGCTCATGAGCAGCACCACTTTCCTTCTTAAAGATCCCCATTCCCTGGCTCCACTCCTGGAGGTCTGGYAGGGGGTAGCCTGGGAACCAGTGTATTTTACAAGCCCCCAGATGATTCTTCTCATCAGGGAAATGTGAAGCTCACTGTCCCAGAGGAAGTGACCCTTGCAGAGTGGGGAGAGACCAACATTTGGGTCAAACATTATTGACCCTACTTCAGAGAGGACATACTGAAAAGGAACGATGTATATAATACTATAACATAAAGACGTATACGATATTATGGACATTTAGATATAGACACACTGTGTAGACATAGATACACTTAAAACTTCCAGGAAAAGCATCCTCTCTAGGAGAGAAGAGAGCAGATTATTGCACAAGAAAAAAAAAATCAGGGAAGAAACCAGGCTTTCAATGGACTCCACTTCTTTATTTATAAACCCATCTTCCAACCTTTCTGAACTTCTTAAACAACACAAATTCATCTCAAGTTGTACAATCTGTTACCTTGGCAAGCTAGTAATGACAAATCCTATTTTCCATTTTGAATGTTGTTCCTAATTACTCCACTTAACATGGAGTGCAAGAAATCGTGCGGCAGGAGAGGGGTGGGAGTGTACTTGCAGATTTGATTTGATTTGTTTTTTAAAGGAGTTTTGCTGTCAGAAGGCTTTATATCTCTTCCAGAAGGAAAGGCTATAAAGTTACCCCTTAGGACAGATCACAATCAGATTTTACTGTTCTGTGTGGAACATGTGTCCATTTATTTTTTAAAGTCACTTCACCCATGTCCCTTTGCCTCTCAGTAATGAAATAACACAAGAATAACTGAAAAGAAAAAGTGGCATCATAGGTGTCTCTGTACTCCTGTGTGGCTTTCACACAACTTTCAACTAGGAGCATATGAAAGTAAGTGTGTGTGTGTGTGTGTGTGTGTGTGTGTGTGTGTTGTGTGTGTATGTGTGTGTGTCTGCATGTGTGTGTGAATACACACAATACATATATATTTATATATACACATCCATGTACATACATACATATACTCAGAGAATGCTAATACTGATCTAAAACAGCAGAGTTTCTCTAGACCAAATTTTAAACTACATAATGCTTTCAATGGCAGCAGAGGCAAAATTTTCACTGATTATACATTTAAGGGCAGCAACTCTGTGCAGGTTGTATGGTGTTTGGAGTATATGAGTAGTTAAACAGGGTTAGATTTAAGTGAAGCTTATGGATTGAAAAAAGAACAGGAAGTTAAAGGCTTCTGTTCCTCCTTACCGGTCCTCAATCTCTCAGCATTTCAGAGTGACAAAGACAGACCCCGGAACATGGTGGATCCTTCTTCCCATTCTTGTGACCGTAGAGTGCTGACTGCACAGGCCAACCTAAGGACGTGTTGAAGCTCCACCATTTAAGACCATTAAATGTTGTGAGCAAAGGTTGATTCTGTTGCCACGGGAAGACTGGCATGTTGGTGCAGTGGCTTCCGCAGATCAAGTTCAGTGTTTATGCTGTGGGCCATTTATTTTTCAAATTAAATTAAGATTCTTGTTCTTAAGAAGCTGTAGCATTTGCTTTGTTTTGCTTTTAGGGGCAGCTTGATTTCTTCCACATTCAGCATCTATGCTCATGAGCACCTCACTTTGAGGACCCCCCTCCAAGTTCAGAGGTACTTGACTCTTCACAGTGTGGCAGCTGCTGGCATAACTAAAGCTCTCAGCAGGGACAACTGGAGGGTCTAGAATTTTAATATAAGCACACATCCTGGAATCCTAATGCAGAATATTCTATTAACATACAATGACTAATTGTCAGAGACACAGAACATTCACAGGGCATATAAAAACATGTATATCAGCAATTTAATCTCTACGTTTTGCAACCTGAAGTGAATGAACAAACATCTGATGCCTTGGAGCCTTAATATAATTCTGCACTAAAATTATAAAGACTGGGAAGCTGAATAAAGGAACATACATGACTGCCAGAAGTTATGACTGTATAAAATACAACTAAATGAATATTTTCCCTAGGCTTAATTCCCACTGACAGAAATTATAGACAGAAAATAAAAAATCCTTGGTGTCTCTTCTGGTATTTCTCTTAGTAACAGTAATAACAATTATCATAAAGAATTCCACAATTGAGGGCTATTATAACTGCAACATAAGTAGAAGAAAAAGCCCAGGAGGCACAGATACATTACAAACTGCTTCATGACGCATATTTGTCTTGCTACTGAAAGTCAAACTCTTCCAAAACTTTTCCAAATGTCATATCTATCCATAAATGCGACTTTCATTTGTTAAAGTGAAATTAAAGAAAACATTTTGTGTATTTTTTACCCCCGGTTTAGAAATGTTACACATTAATTCTAGACTGACTCACTTTTTCTCTCTTTTTTTTWAAATTTGGTGTCTCTGCTTTATCTTTCAAGTTTGGAGAATATCTTCTTAATAATTCAATTTTGCCAGGTGCTGCTGGCTCAGTTGATCTTGTGGTTTTGTAAGAGAAATGAAGTGCAAAAGCCCATACCCAGCATTCTCTGAGAAAGCCTCCCAGTGAACATACAACAAAATGCTGGTCAACCTCCAAGAAGCCAGCTCCGGATCTGTCAAATGGTCTGTGTGAAATTCTGCACCTCCAAGTTTGCACGAATTTCTGTCAGCATCTGCTTCTCCATTCAGAAATGAAWAGCATCGGGGAACAGAAAAGAAATCAAAGAAAAAGGAGGAAAACAGGTCTAACCCAAAGAGGTCCTTTCTTTGATGACTCAACACTCCCCATAAAGGAAAACTGAAACTGCTGTTGCTTTAAGGATTCTTCCACTTTCTTCAGGATGAAAGGTTTGAAAAAGTGGACCTTTGGGAGGAAATGCTACAGACTTCTAAGTTGGTGAAAGAACTTCCAGCATCACTTGGGTACTCGGGGTAGGAGGAGCTGGAGGAGATGATGTTTTTGAGCCTCTGGAGGGCAATAATTAAAAGCAAAAGCAGAAATGCTAAAAGGCTGAGGAATATGGACACATAGATGTAGACATTGGACAGGTGGCCTGAGGACGGGTCCACCGATGTGGACAGCGATGTGGGAAACAGCTCAAGGAAAGTTCCATTCTCCACACTCCCTGCAAATCCAGATGAAGAGTCAGGCTCAGACATCTTTATGAAGGAGAAGGAATGAACAGGTATATTAAAGTCAAATTTTCACACAGGGGTTAAGAAGGATGCAATTGGCATTGCTTTTGCATGTGGCCACAGTAGAAATTATAGACTGGGAAATCAGCACAACAAAACCTCTGGGTTTTTAAACAAAGGCAGCAGCAGGGGATCAGGTGTCCATCAAGGTCTGCAGAAATAAAAACAAACAAAAAACATTTAGTGCATTTTTGGGGGGAGAAATACCACATTTAAATCGAAGTTTTAGTTTTTATTTCAGTAAAGCTTAACTATAAAACTGACCAGGAAAGGAAAACAGTGAAGTAACTCCCCTAGGAATAAGTAATGCTTATGTCTTTATATTACAAGTGATGATATAAAGTGAACTTTTATTTCTCCCCACAGTGCAGTAGGTGCCAGGTTTCTTTAAGGAACTAAAGATAAAACATAAAGAAAAATATATTTCTGATGTGCCCCATCTGCTGAGATTTCAACAGATGCTTCAAATGAATGCTCTGAGACAAGAACCCAAGAAGCTCCAAATCTCCCTCCTCCAGAAAATTAATTCTGTACATCCTACAGTCCAGAGCACAACTGCTGACCAGTGTTTCCCTCTAGCACATGTTGAAGAACCCTGAACACACAAATGTGCTTTTGGTGGATGTTCACAATATGCTGATTTCTTTATAAAAATTTTGTCTGCTCGAGATCAGCGAATATTTCTATTTATTTTCTTTAAATGTACTCATGTAATTTGTTTTAGATACCTCAGGCATTGAATTAAAAAAAAAMAACAACAAACAAAACTTTAACCTGCCTGGAAGAAGAGCAAATTGAATTGCCTCTGAATGGTAGAGAGAGTACCAGGTTTGTGTCAAGAGACAGGTTTGAGGCCTGAATTCCCCATCATCTTTGAGCAGCTGGGCACACTTTCCCACAATTCCTGAGCTTTACTTTTATCATTTGAAAAATGATTCAACACCTGCCCCATCTCCTCATGAAGATATTGGACATGGAAGGAGTCTGTGAAATGCAAAGATTGGACCAAAATGAGGTGTGTGTGTGTGTGTGTGTGTGTGTGTGTGTGTGTGTCTGCACGCGTGCAAGCAAGTGCACAATTGTGTGTGTGTGTATGCGCATGCGCGCCCGTGCCTGTTTGCCAGGTGCAAAAAAATAAAAAAATAAAAATAAGGCTCTTCACTGTGTTCAGTCTGTGATTTAAGCAGCCTAAGGGAAGAGCAGCCCTCCAGGTAGAGAACTCTAGAACTCTCTTGAAGTCCAGAAAAGATGCTCTTCCTGGCTCCTGGCACTAGATTGTTTTGCTGTAGAATTCTAAAACTCACCTCAGGCAGTGGTGAAATGCTAATGGAAAACCTCCACTCTKCCCCTGGCTTTCCCTTGCTACACAATATCTGGCATTTTACCTTGAAAATTTGCCTTTTCCTTCTGTTCTCCAAATCTAATTAAGCAGCTGATTCTTTGAGTGGCTGACATTTGCCACTGTGGCCAGAGCTGAGCAGCACTAATGATCCCTTGGAAGGGAGGACACTTCAGAGAAGGCTGTCCCTGTCAGGTGTCACACAGAGTCTTTGTGAGCTCTTCAGAGTAGGCCAGGGACAAAGTCTCAGTAGTTCCTAAAATAATTTGACTCCTACTCCTCATTATGCTTTGCCTGGTGATTTTAATTCCATTAGGCTGTTACACGCTTCTAACAACCAGTTTTAAAAAAATAATAATCACAGTGGGACTGCAAATGTGTTACACTGTTTTGGCAATACCAATCTTTTTACTGCACACAAACGTTCTAGCTGTTTATCTTTAGTGAACATGGTAAAGTGTCTCAGAGGCAGCATGGTGTACAGGAAAAAAAAAAGTAGCATAGAAACCTAATAGACTGAGTTAGAAAAAAAAAAGTTCTGGTACAACCAAAAATCAGGAAAAAAAAAAAAAAGTTCTGGTACAACCAAAGTGTAGCAGAGGAGATAGAGAAACAAAGATGCCAATTGATTTGATATGAATTACATTTGTAATTAGAAGATAAACCAGGGATTTAGGCTTCTGGCCACCCCAGTCCTCATACCATCTGGTCTCAATTTTTAAATTGTTTTGGTAGTAAGATTGTATGTCATCTTTTTTATTTTATTTTTTAACATGGGGAAAGAAAGTAAGCACTATGAATCTATTGTTTCTCTGGCAGGTAGGGTGGTAATTGTGCCTGTTATAGTTTTGATCTAGAATGTTCCTCCCCAAATTATGTGTTGAAGGCTTGGTCTCCAGCTGGTGGCACTATTAGGAGATGGTGGACACTTTAGGAGATGGGTCCTAGCTGGAATAAGCAGGYCTTTGGTGGTGTGCCTTTTAAGGGTTTATTTTGACTGCCCCAGCCTCTTCTGCTTCTTATCTATATGAGGTGAGTAGCTTTCCTCTGCCACACCCTTCCACTGTACTGCTGTGATCCACTCTCAGGCCCAAAGCAATGGAGCCAGCTAACTATGGACTGAAACCTCTGAAATCATGAACAGAATAAACCTTTCATCCTTTAAGTTGTTTTTGTCAGGCATTTTGTCACAGTAATGAAAAGCTGACTTGAACATAGTGCCATTTTGCAGATGAGAAAACTGAGGTGTAAAGATATTGTGATTTACTCAGGATGCACAGCTAGTCAGTGACAGAGAAGTAATCAGAACCCATATTTGAACCATGTTCTTGGTTTTCTCAACTGTGGGAGGAAGAGGGAAGTCACAGAGTTGGGTAATTGGTTCCTATCTGCCATTTACCTTAGGCAAGTCCACAGCCAGCCCTGAGAGTTCAGTTTTCCCATTTACACAACAATAATTAATACTTATCTTTCCTACCTCTCCGGGTAAGCCCGTGTTAAAGAGGTTGCTTTCTAGGGATGGGGCTGAAGGCACAATATCACTGTGGCATCAGTAAGTCAGTAGCAAAACTATCAGCTGACTCCAAGACTGTTTGTAATGACAAAGGTATCTCTTTACAGAGTAAATATCCAAGAGTACTTTCCACTTCCTGAGGGTCACATTCTTCACCATACATGAATTAGTTCACAGAAAACAAGGTGAAGAAGATTTGGAGAAAGGGTTCGATCTCCTTGGCTTTGGAAGACTGGTAGAATATAAACTAAAGAAACCTTGTGTCTTTATTTGAAATTTCACAATTAAATATCCTCTCCTTTAAATATCGCTTCTCAATGTTCCAGATGTCATATCATTTCCAGACTTCTTAATTTAAAATGACAGCGACACAAATTTCATTTCATTGTTATATTCTGAAACAACAGAGTATATGCATTGTCAGAGATGATTTTAATTTGCCAACATTAATTCTCATTTCCTTATTGAAGCTTACAAAATTGGCCTATCTTCTCTCTGTCTGGTGAATGTTTTATTCGACAGTGACTGCATAATACTCAGGATGAACCAAACTCTACGTGTTTAGGTATTGTGACAGGTGGCACTGTGGAAATGAAATCAAATGAGTGTTTCAAGATGATGCTTCTTTGGTTCTTTTTTTCCCAGATAAGGCTTAAAGAAAGACTTCATCTCAAATGTATAGCCTTGACCCATCTTGGGGCAGCGCCGGCAAACTCTCATTTCAGGTGACACCGGAAGCCATGCAAGGATTTTTTTTTTTTTTTTTCCTGAGCCATCCTCAGAGAGTGATTTTTGAAAAAAGGAAAAATGAGACATCTGGATCACAACATTATAAATGAATATCTGTGGAAATGTTTTAGCTCATGGTCAGCCAGCTTTCTGTTTGTTTCTGGAATGAAAATGTGTGTTAGGAAGAAATCTACAAAAAAGCAGTGAGYGGGGACCCAGAGAGACAGCATAGATAGGGCAAATCTTGTTCCATGTCATAGGACCAGGTTATCATCCTTCCTGGAAGATGGAAGCTTCTATTATGATTTGGATGTGAGGTGTCTCCCCAGAACTCCTGTGTTCATGCAGGAATATTCAGAGGTGAAGTGATTAGGTTATGAGAGCTGCAACCTAATCAGTTCATCCTAGTTGAATGAACTGACTGGTGGTGACTGTAGGCAGGGGGGTGTGGCTAGAGGAGGTGGGTCACTGCGGGTTCTGGAGGAGTTCATCTTCCCTGTGGGCCCTTCTTCCTTCCCTCTTTCTGCTTCCTGGTTTCCATGAATGGAACAGTGTTCCTCCACCCTTCTACCATGATGTTCTGCCTCCCCTTGGGCCTAGAGCATTGGACTTGACCATCTATGGACTGAGACCCTGAATCTGGGAATCCCCAAATAAAGTTCTGTCCTCTAAGTGGTTCTTGTCAGGCATTTTGTCTCCACAGGCAGAGTTGACTATAACATTTTCCTTCCTACAGGGTGGTTATGAGGATTGTAATCTTTGGCAAGAACAGAGGCATACTGTAGAGCATGTACCTCATCCTTTCATTCCTTCTAAATGGAACAAAAGTTGTCTGGCCCTCTTCTCAGAGTCCTCTCTCATTAGCATTGCAAGACCCCTGGCAGAGAGACAGCATGTGGGCAGAGCCCATGCGTGCCATGGCCTTGACTTCTATTGCACAGTGGTTTATAAAACTCAGCCTATTGGTCTGCTTCAAATGTGGTACAACAATTTTGACCATGAGAACTTTATTCAAATACATCTCTATGTGAATAACAAGCATGTAAAGGTTTTTTTTCTTTATTATTGTAAAAAAACTGGGACAAGCTGCTTTGTCCCCTTGCAATATTCTTTTAAGAACCTAGCTGTTACGATCCACAATGTCACATCAACATTTCATCTATGAGTCCTACTGTGTCACACTCCAAAGGTAATCCTCCCCAAACCATGAGGAGTGGTGCAATAAAAAATTAACAGGACATGGCAAAATGCTTTTTATAGTACACAAATGTGAAATTAGATATAATAATGTAATTAATGGTTTTAGATGATTTATTGAATCTCTTTCTCGGAGGAACACATAGAGACCACCATTTCCAGAATCCAGAAGGGAAATTATAACATCCAAGCCCAGCTGTTTCTAGCTTATTAGGAAATAGCATGGTTTCTATAAAACCTTGCAGCCATTGCCTTAGCCTTCACAGGATCATCTTTTCTTCTAATGCTTTTTCTCTGCTTTGGCCTTTTAGGTCATGGTGGATGGGA